ATTATATGATTGAACATTTGATGATGTTGAATGTTGATAGTTGGATTGAATCGTGATTGTGACGCCGCCTTCCTTGGGGTATGGCTATGATTGATGTTTGTGTTTGGAGAACTCACCCCTGTGTTTGTGTTGTCTTGTATTGCTCTTCTTTTATTTATATAGATGGACAGGAACAAGGTGAAGGTGTGGGTCCTTCCTTCTGAGGAGGATATGTGGGTGTTCGACTTCGCGGCTTAGCAAAGTATCTTCTGCAGATTTGCACGAGTGATTCATGGATTGGAGAGTGGAGGTTCGTGGATCACCCAATATACTGCCAACACCCTTGTTGAGATTGTCTTTTCTGTCCCTCCTGGTGACACTCAGTTACCTTATCCTGCCCTATTTGCTTCCCCAACACCTATGTCGATTGATCCCTGTACTCCTACTGCTAGACCAGCCCTCGTGCCTGTGCCATTTCCCTTTATAACTCCTACTTCTCAACCATGCCAATGGAGAGGGATGTCTATGTGGTGGAATCCTCCATTAGGTATACTACCATGCAATCTTATATGCACCGTGCATACTCATCTACTTTGGTCCCATCTACTGCTACTTGTTCACCTCCTCGCATAGTTGGAATGATGGAGGTCATGCCACGACTACTTCCTCTAGCTTTGCTTCCTCAACATCTTCTGAGGAGTCTGATCCCATTGAGGATTACTCTTCTTGTGATTGATGTTGTTTATTTACTTATGTCTTAGGGGAACTGCTCTTAGGAAGTTGGTCTATTTATGTTATGTTGTATTTGGATTATGCTGACCGTTCTGTTTGATTATGTACTTGACGTTTCCGCAACTTATGTTTAATATATTTGAGGTATTTTCAAATGTTGAGTTGTGTTGATCTGATATTATTATACTATTGCAATTGACTTATAGAGTGTTGAAATGAGAAAGTCATATGCATGTTAACTCTCTCTCAGAGAAAGAGAACTATATTTGTAAACTGTATGAGGAAAAAAAATTTACCAGATTTTGGTGTTTTCTAATTTATCATGTTATAAAGTTGGTATTAGTGTTTTAGTGATTTAGGATGCTACAGAAAGCAGCTTTGCATTGCTCGATTGGATTCATGATGGTGTTGCTAGGAAATTTCTCATCATTCCTTTTCAACAATTGTTCTAAAATTTGCCCTATTTACAGCTCCATCTTCATCATGGATGCATCTTGATTCTTGAAACTTGACTGAGTAAATTCCATGAATTGGAGTTTAGTTCATTATTTCTATTTGGAATAGTCTTTGAAGGCTGCTATCCTCTTTGTGATTGAGAATATGATACTTGATGATGATCGATTTTGTTGAGTTGTTTAAAAGATTTTGTCGCAAATCCTCATCAAAATTTAAACAAATTACTGTAGTATTAGGGTTACCCTAGATTGCCTCCCCTAAACATTGGCTATTAATCTTCATTAAACATATTGAAGGCATTAATTGAACAAACAATTAAAATGGGGATTTTGAGGTTTCAAATCAAAATAAAGAACAATGAGCAAACAAGTTTAGTTAATTCAAACAATAGAAAATAGCAACCCTTAGTTCATCCACAAAGATTCTATCCTCATTCCACTCAAGATTTAACATTCATCCTTTCTCCCATGAATTAGGTTAATTTAACAAGCGAAAATCAACCTTATTATCCTAACGAAATTACGCAATTTGCTAGGCTCTAATCTCTCATCCCAAAGTTACGCAACCTTAGAATTAAACCTAGGATTAAGGAATCCCTAGTTTAGAATCTCCTTAAAATGAAATTAGGGTTAATTGAGCAATACCCCCCTCATTCACCATTAATTCAATTCAAGAGACAAGGAAGAAGTAATTCATGAAAAGAAAGAAATTATATTATCATTAAAATCAAGGAACTCAAGAATCCTTGCGAATTTACTAAGGATTACACAAAATTTAGCCCTTCATGGAAATGGGGGTCAAAATGCAGTTGGGAAATGCAGAAAACAAGCAAGAGAAATAAGAAACCAAACCTTAGGTTGGACCCTTGGCTGTCACCCAAGGTTGCCCTAAGCTCTGGAAAATCGTCCTAATTAAGTAAGGAAGAGAGAAGGTACAAAAAGTACAAAAAGTGTTAGAACTCTCTACCCGAATTTGGCAAAAATCTATTTATACTAAAGTTGGCGCCGCCCAAAGTAATTACTTTAATTATTTCATAGTAAACACACGCAGCATCAGTTGGATTTTTCCTCTCTAGAGTGATTACTATGAATATTCATAGTAACTACGCGAAGCACTGGAACATTTTGGACTCTCTGGAGTTGTCACTATGAATTTTGATAGTAACTACGCGTAGTATGTAACATCCTATGCTTTGTGTCATGCCTATAGTATATCATTGAGAAAAATCTGTAGTACTTTGTGAGCAAAAAGAAACCGTGTATATACAGTAGCCCCTGATGTCAACAATGACATCATGCTTATGTCATCGGCAACATCACGCTGACATCATCGCTTATGTTATTGGTGATCTCATGCTGACATCATCGCTTACATCATCGGTGACATCACGTTGACATCATCGCTTGCATCATGCTGACATCATCACTTACATCACATTGACGCTGACATCATTGCTTGCATCATGCTGACATCATCGCTTACATCACGTTGACGCTGACATCATTGTTTGCATCATGCTGACATCATCACTTGCATCATGATGACATCATCGCTTACATCACATTGATGCTGACATCATTGCTTGTATCATGCTGACATCATCGCTTACAACACATTGATGCTGACATCTTCAAAAATTTTCTATAAATAGGGGGCTTCACATGAAATTTTCATTTCTTCACTCCTACCCAAGGTTCTCGAAGGTTCTAAGGTCATATCTCGCCATTTTCTCCCATACTAAACCTCCTAAACTTAGATTTCTCTTCAGATCTGTGATTCTACGTCCGTTATAAAGGATTTCAAGTAAGTTTCTCTAAGTTTGAAGTTAGATTTACCATTCGTTTCTCTTCTTCTTCTTTTTCTTATAGATGTTCATGATGTTCTTAGAAAAAACTTCATTCTAGAGTTAAATCTTCTGTTAAATCCTTGTAAAAGCTCTGTTTTGAGGTAGGGGGCTCTACTTTATCATTTTGTTATGCTTATTACTCATATTCCCATAGATCTTGTCATGTATGTGATTATATGTGGAATAATCCTTGTTTTATGAAAAATAATTGGTGAAAAGTGAGAATAATTGATTATTTATGTGATTTTATGATGAATACATGGTGAAAATGTGATATTATGTTCAAATAGGGCATGATAAGGTATATTGAGGATGGTTGATATGATTATATGATTTTGTGATATGAAATATACAAAGAGATGGATGTTTCATGTTTGAATATATTGTGTTTCATGTAAAAATGATGTGTATTGTTAATATGCCATGGTTTGATGTATATGATGAAAAGTATATGGAAATATGATGAAAAATATGTGTGAACATGAGAAATGGCATATGTGAACATGTGAATATACTTGAAAGAGTATGAGATGGAAAAAGATATGATGTAAATAGTTACAGAGATACACTGGGGAAATGGAAGATGGAGACGATATGGGATATCTTGGGGAAATGCAAGGTGGTGAGTGACATTCGGGATTGTGCACGGAATATTGTGTATGAATGCACCACATGGCCACACACTCGTTTCCTGAGTTGACTCCTGACCATTACCTTTGCTAAGGGGCCGTCTATTGCATGCGTTGTATCCGTATTGCATTGGGCCATCCTGTGACTATTTTACATGGATGTGTAAGACCTCGAGATAGAGGCATCAGATAACTGTGGCCACAGGGTGCTGTAAGCACAGATAAAAGTAAAAGAAATTGTGAATCTGTGGAATATAATATGTGTTGAGATGAGAACATGCTTATATGACACTATGATATGTAATGCCATGATGTTTTCTTTAACTGTGATAAGATGTGTTTTGTGATAAATATGTGTGATGTATGAGTGGTAAGGTAGAGACTTACCCTTACACAACATTTTTCAGGAAACCAGAACGAATAGTACCAGGCTCACAGTGCATGGATAGATGAGAACTGCTATAGGACTTAGTTATTTTAAGTTATGTAATGAATATTTTCAGTTCTATAGCATTCTTTTGAAACAGTTGTAAAACTACTATTTCTTTTTATTGCTGATGAAAATTCTAGAATCTTTGTTTTTCTAAAGTACTTATGAATTAATGAAATTTTACTCTATGAACCTTATATCATTTCAATGTCTCTTTCTTATTAGAGAGTTTTGAAAGAAAATTTACTTTACCATTTAAATTTTTATGAAAATTTATCATATATTAAGGAAAGAAATATAAGGCGTTACAATTTTGGTATCAGAGCAGTTCATCCAGACCAGACGGGGGTATGGGACTAACATGTCTATGTTGTGTAATAGATATACTAGAATATGAAATGATTATTTGCTAATATGACTTGTTAGATGTGAACTACGTGAACTAGATCTATCTATGATAGATTAATAAGTGTTTTGAGTTTATTGCAAGATTAGAGTTATGTCTGGTAGAGGTAGACCTGCTAGTGCTACAAATGAACTCCTGGAGCGCATGACCCAAGTCTTAGAGACTTTGGTACATAACCAGGAGGCTGAACTAGTCGAGTATAGAGGACTTTCTTCTTTTACTAAGCATAACCCTCCAAAATTTGAGGGAAAGTTTGATCTTGAGGGAGCTCAGAGGTGGATAGCAGACGTGGAGAATATTTTCCACACCATGGGATGTAGAGAGGAGCATAAAGTAACTTATGCTACTTATATGCTGAGTGGAGAAGCTGAGGACTGGTGGAGATTTGCTAGTTAAACTCTACTGCAAGAAGATGGTTATATTCCTTGGAAGACATTTAAGGCAACTTTACTAGGAAATTATTTCCCTAGAGATTTAAAGAAACAGAAGGCTAGGGAGTTCCTTGAGTTGAAACAAGGAAACATGTCTGTAGGTGAATATGCTGCTAAATTTCATGAATTGATGAAATACTGGCCTCACTATCAACATAATGATGGAGAGGAAGATCTATGTGCTCAATTTGAACATGGGCTTAGGCAAGATTTTGAGCTGCTGTTAGTGTATTCCAGCTGACAGATTTACCCGTTCTAGTGAGTAAATGCAGAATATTTGAAGCCAATACTAAGAGTAAGACGGTGGATACCAGAATCGGTGGTCCTGTGAGGCAAGACCGAAGGCCTCCAAGATTTTCTAGAGGACCTGACTCTAGTCCAAATCAGTCTCAAGTGAAGGGGACTGTATCTCAAGAAGATAGTAGTGGTGGTTTAGGTTCTTTCAGAAGGCCACTAAAATGTTTCAAGTGTGGTGGGCCTCATATTAAAAAGAATTGTCCTCAACTTCTACCAACATGTGACATTTGTGGGAAAATGGGACACTCTGCTAGTGTCTGTTGGTCTGCACCACAAAAGAGCGGAAGCATGAGTGTGGAACAAAGACCTGAATCTAGAGCAAGCACTGGAACAAAGCCAAATGTGAAAGGAAAAGTTTTTGCTATGAGTGGAGCTGAGGCCTCAAAATCAGAGGAGCTTATTAGAGGTAAATGTATCATAAAAGATCGACTTGTAGATGTGTTGTTTGATTCTGGTGCTACTATTTCCTTTATCTCTGTGGATTGTATGAGATGTCTAGAATTACCTGTATCTAAATTGTCTTGTGATGTTATTGTATCTACTCCTACGGGTAAACACAGAGTTGCTTTTGTTATTCAAGTAGTACTTGATGGAAATTTGATTTACTAAACACAGAGAAGCTTTTATCAATGAAAGTTGAAATTGTTTCTCAGATCTGAATTAACTACCAATATTATTGATTTCTTAGGCATAAGTCATCTTAATCTTACAATCTTTTGGCTTTTAATGCTTAATGCAACATTTAATTGAATCAGATCTAAGGAATTAGGATGATTGAATTGAACGTTAGAATCATTGAGTTAAGAAATTAACCTTAGATTAATAAATCGTGAGACTGATTGTCATTCAAACTAAATGCTTGAAAGTTCAAAACTTGATTGAATTAACACTGAATAGCCAAAGGTTAATCCCTTAACTCATTGACCCTAACAAGCAACTAAATGACCTTAATCCCTTAGGTGAAGTTCAATTTCATGTTGCATTAAGAATTAGAACCTTAAGATTGCAGAATTAGGTCTCCTTATCCCTATGAAATTCCCAAATTCTAGTTGTTAGTTCAGATCAGAGAATCAAGTCCAATTCCCATTGGCAAATGTTCCTCTAAGATTAATCAAATGAATTCCCATTCAACGATTATGTAAAGTGCAGAATTAACAACTCAATTAATCAAAATACTCGAATTTCAGAAGCAAGAATCAAATCAATACATCAATTCGAGTTCCATAAACCCCTAACTACAAGAAATTACACAGACATTGTGGCAGAGAAAGAGAAAGAAGGAGAAGAAGAAGAAAAAGTCAGAAAAGTCATAGCCACAAGCTCCAATCCAATCCCTCTTCTTGAAGCTTCGAGGTTCGACCCCACTCCTCTCTCTCACTCTCTCCCAACGAGAATCTAACAGAAAAAATGGAAAATGAATGAAAGACCCCGAGATCTGAGCTAAAAACATGTATTTATAGAAATCCCGATTCTTGGCGTTATCACTCTTGCTGATAAGAGTAGCCACGCAGAAGGTCGCGACGTTGTGCGTAATCACTTTTATGAGTAAAAGTGGTCACGCGCAACTTGCCAGGTTGAGGACTCTCTGGAACATCCACTTTCAATGATAAAAGTGGTTACGCAAAAAACTTTGAAACTTCGCCTTCTCTGGAACGCTCACTTATGCTGATAAAAGTGGTTAAGACAGGTCTGCTGAGTCTGAAGCTTCTTTGGAACGTTCACTCTCAGTGATAAGAGTGATAACGCAGAGTATCCTGATATTGTCACTCTCTGGAACGTTCACTTTTGCTGGTAAGAGTGGTAACGCCCAGGCTTCACTTCTTCTTTAAGCTCTGGAGTGATCACTTTCACTAACAATAGTGATCACGCCCAGTCTACATTTCCTTGTTCTTGTGTTTTGGAGTCCAGACTTGCTACTTTCCTCTACCTTTCCATCAAGCGTCCATCCACATGACCCTTGCTCGAATTATTCCTTCAAAAACAAGATCAAAAACTTAATTTCTAAGCTAGTATTTCACAATTTCTAAAATAACTATAAATTGAAAGAAAAATTCAAATCATTCTCTTTTTCTGAGTTTTTCTGCTTTCTTCATATATTTTCCTTATCAAATGAGTTAGAATTATGCTAAAATATCAGTAAAAATATGGATTCATCAAGTATCTGTTTGATCAGAGGGAGTTGAACATGCGGCAGAGAAGGTGGATGGAATTCCTTAAGGACTATGATTTTACATTGCCGTACCACCCCGGAAAGGCGAATGTGATGGCCGATGCTTTGAGGCAGAAAACGTTGCACGTGGCAGTAATGATTATGAAGGAGATGGAGTTAATTGAGGAATTTCGGGACATGAATCTGGCCATAGAGGTAAGGCCGAGGAGTTTGTACCTTAGGGCAATAATAATTCACAACGACTTTTTGGTGTATGTCCGATATACGTAGCAGGAAGATGCTTTTTTGCAAGATATGATGAGATATAAGAATGAGGGAAAGAATTTGGAGTTCCACTATAATGAGAACAGGATGATTAGGTTCTGGAACCGAGTGTGCATTCCCCAAGTGGATGAGTTGAAGCAAATGATACTAGAAGAAGCGCATAAGAGTAAGATGAATTTTCACCCCGATACGACCAAAATGTATCAGAATCTCTGGAAGAGTTTTTGGTGGAATGGAATGAAAAGATATGTAGCTGAATATGTGGCTAAATGCCTAACTTGCCAAAAGGCGAAGGTAGAGCACCAGCGTCTACCAGGGTTGATACAATCGTTGGAGATCCCTGAGTGCAAATGGGGCAGTATTTCTATGGACTTTGTTTTCAATTTGCCAAGGACCAGGAACAACCATGATATCATTTGGGTGATTGTAGACCGATTGACTAAGGCTGCACACTTTCTCCCGATTAACATAAAGTAGAAGTTGGAGAGACTTGCAGACTTATATGTGAGGGAGATAATCCGGTTGCATGGAGTGTCGACTAGTGTGGTGTCTGATAGAGACCCGAGGTTTACCTCAAGATTCTGGGAGAGCCTGCAGAGGGCGTTGGGCACTAAGTTGAAGCTTAGTTCGGCGTATCATCCACAAATCGACAGCCAGACAGAGAGAACCATCCAGTCCTTAGAGGACTTGTTGAGGGCTTGCGTGCTTGAGCAACAGGGGACTTGGGAAGAATGCCTGCCATTGGTGGAGTTCACATATAATAACATCTATCACGCCAGCATAGAAATGGCGTCATTTAAGGCTTTGTATGTGTTGTTTACAATTCTGAACACTAGCAAGTGCACTAGGAATGAGTAATTTTTAAGATTAGAATATTGTCTCCACAGGGAATTAGGAAATCAATTATCACTTCACAGAACTATAACCATTTGAGCCATACGAATTTGGAAGATTTATAACATTCAAAAGTCAAGAACAAGCACAATTAAAAAGTAAGAAACTTGCAGTAAAAACAGAGTATGAAAGTTGTGATGAAATGAGATAGGAATGAAGAATAGTTAGGAATTTATTTCACAAGAATGTCAATATCAATTCAATCATGCCTCTAAATATTCAAGTAATTGGTTAATTGCCAATCAGTTTCTCTTATTAATAGTCAAAGTTTAATTCCTTAAATCATTGACCCTAACAAGCAACTAAACCCCCCTAATCCCTTAGGTGAAGTTCAATTTCAAGTTGTATTAAGACTTAGAATCGTAGGATTGTAGTATTAGGTCTCCTTATCCCTAAGAAATCCTCAATTCTGATTGCTAACTCAAATCAGAGAAGCAAATCCAACTTCCATTGGTAAATGTTCCTCTTTGATTAACCATACGAATTTCCATTCACAATGTGCAATAATAGCAGAATTAACAATTCAATTAATCCAAAAACTCAAATTTTAGAAGCAAATATCGAATCAATACATCAATTCAAGTTCCATAAACGCCTAACTATGGAGAATTAAGTAAACATTGTAACAGAGAAAGAGAAAGAAGGAGAAGAAGAGAAGAATTGCAAAGAAGCCATCTTCACGAGCTCCAATCCAATGCCTCTTCTTGGAGCTTCAAAATTCGACCCCAATCCTCTCTCTTACTCTCTCTCAACGAGAATCTAACAGAAAAAACAGAAAATGAACAAAAAGCCCTGAGTTCTGAGCTTTCTCTGGTATTTATAAGAATTCTCGACTCTGGGCATTGTCACTTTGCTTCAAAAGAGTGACCACGTAGAGGCTCATGTAGTTTCTGGAAGACTGGAACATTCACTTTCGTTGATAAGAGTAGCAACGCAGGAGGTTGAGGAGTACACGTGATCACTTTCAAGAGCAAGAGTGACCACGCGCAACTTGCCTTGATACACTCCTTTCTGGAACATCCACTTTCGCTGGTAAAAGTGGTAATGCAGAGCTCGCTGAAATTCTGCCTTCTATGGAACTATAGTAAAATATAGTAAAATACTAGTAAAAGTGGTAATGCAGAGCTCGCTCAACACATTCCTTATTAAATGGATTAAAACTATAGTAAAATACTAGTAAAAATATGAATTAATCAGTATGGGCGGAGGTGTAGAACTCCATTATGTTGGTATGAAATCGGAGAGCCGATTTTGTGTGCACCGGATATGATCTAAAGGTAGAATGAGCAAATCAAGATGATTAAAGAGAAAATGAAGGCTGCCCAAGATTGACAGAAGAGCTACTATGGTAAAAGGAGGAAGCCCTTGCAGGTTCAAGTGGGCAACCATGTATTTTTTTATGGTCTCACCTGTGACTGGAGTCGGTAGAACTTTGAAATCTCGAAAGCTATCTCCTAAGTTCATTGGGCCATTCGAAGTGCTGAGTAGAATTGGTCCTGCTACGTACCGGATAAGGTTGCCTCTGAGTCTCTCGAATCTACATTCGGTGTTCTATGTGTCACAACTTAGGCAGTATGTGTCGGATCCTTCCCATGTGATTGATATTGACCCGGTTCAAGTGAGAGAAGACTTATCTTATGACATGTATCCAGTGAGGATAGCGGACCAACTGAGGGGCAAGAAAATCTCATTGGTGAAGGTGATATGGAACTCAAGCGATGAGAGTGATGCGACATGGGAAATGGAGAGTAGAATGAGAGAGTTATATCCAGGATTGTTTGTATAATCTGTGTATGTTGGATTGAATTTTGGGACAAAATTTCCTAAAGGAGGGGAGAGTTGTAACGCCCTGAATTTTGTAATATCGTTTAATTATTAAAGTATGTGTGTGTGTGTGGATTGCCCTATGAGGTGTGTTGATTGACATGAGGATGATGTGTATGTGTGTGTAATAATGTGGACCTATATGAATATGATTGTGATAAGTCCGTATAGTGTGGTTGGAATGTAATGTGAATTGTGACTAGACTGGAATAGATTGAATATGTGTGTGTGTGTGTGTGTGTGTGTGTGTGTGTGTGTGTGTGTGTATGTGTGTGTGTATGTACACAGGATAAGTGTGGATGCTACTGCATGGCATTCTCGCTGTAGCGAGAGGGCCCTAGGCGTGAGGCATGAAATTGTGTCATTCTCGCTGTAGCGAGAAGGCACTGGGAGAGAGGGGTGAAACTGTCGCCTTGTCACTATAGTGAGAGGTCCCTCGTTGTAGCGACAAAGCAAT